TGGCTGGTGAGTGTAGCATATTCATTTGCGACACAAGCCATATTGTAATTTAATGTTATTAAAAACTACTTTTATTTTCAATCTACAATTCTGTAATTCTGGCAACCCGGAGGACTTTTGTACACTGTTTTACACCATTTTGTACTTATGTGATTTACTCATTGCGCTTCACAGAAGTCTGCAAGATGCAATTCAGTTTTTAAGTACTCCTGTAATAGAAATTGTAGTTTTGGTGAGATGCTTCCTAAGCAGGGGCGGACTGACCATTTGGAAACTCGGGCAGTGCCCGAGGGCCCGGGGTCAGTAGGGGTCCCCATGAGATGCCCCTGGTACCTTTTTCATAGGCTTTTTCGAGTTTGGGCAAGGACACAGGGGCCCCATGATCCCCTATTGCCCGGGGGCCCCATGAGTTGTCAGTCCGCCCCTGTTCCTAAGTGCTAAATATTTTTAGAAAGATGCAGACACTATGGATTTACTCATTAGAACACAGAGTATACCAGGTGGTTATAATGAAGCGGGCCCTCCCATTCAGAATCAGTCTAGTTAACCACTTGCCCTCCAGAGGATTTACCCCTTTCCTGAACAGGCCATTTTTTGCGATACGGCGCTGCATTATTTTAAATGACAACTGTGCGGTCATGCAACGCTGCACCCAAATTAAATTTACATCCTTTTTTTCCCACGAATTGTGATTTCGGTTGGTGGTATTTGATCACCTTTGCATTTTTTATTTTTTGAGCTTTTTAAAAAAAAAAGAGCGACAATTTTGAGAAATAAATATTTTTTACTTTTTGCTATTAGGCATGTCCAGTAAAAAAAATTTAAAAAAATTTAAAAAACCAAATGTCATCATATATTTAGGCCAACATGTATTCTGCTACATGTCTTTGCTAAAAAAAATCCCAATACTTGTAAATTAATTGGTTTACGTGAAAGTTATAGAGTTTACAAATGCCACTATATATACTGGGGTTTTTATTTTTTATTTTTACTAGTAATGGCGGCGATCAGCGACTTATAGCAGGACTGCGGTGGGCATTCTGACACTTGGGGGAATTGACTTGGTGTCACTAACATCCAAAGTGACACCAATACAGTGATCAGTGCTAATAAAAAGCACTGACACTGTACTAATGGCACTGGGCAGGAAGGGGTTAACATGTGGGGGCTGTCGAAGGGTTGACTGTGTGCTGTGTGCTGTTTTACTAGGGGCTGTGTGTTAGTGCTTCACTAATCACACTGCTTTGCATGGCTGTGATGCAGTGTGCACGAGCTGTCAGGGAGGGAGCAGAACTGTTTTGTTTACTAACAGTTCTCCCCCCCCCCCCATCAGAGATGCTTCTACATATAGGGCAGATGGGAAGCGGTTAAATATCTATTTCTTCACAACAGCAGAAGGTAGGAATCTGCTACAGCATTTGTTAATATCCCTGCAATGTATGTTGATCACCCGGGGGGATTGTTTTTTTCTTGACAGAAGTGGAAATACTGTATAAGTAATTGCAGTTTTTTGTTAGAATCAAAGTTGGAATTTAGTTATGCCACTATCTTTTCTGTAGGACACTAAGAAGAAATCTCCACACTCAGTTCCCTCCCAGTATATTCTGCTCGTTCTTTTAAAAGGTCAGTGCAAAGTGCATCCTTGTTTCAAAAAAAAGGAGATTGCAGAGGAATTCTTTCTGGGTCCTGAGTTTTTATACTATACAGGCATTCTGCAGATTAACCCCAGAGGAATAAGACATTATCATTGACTGTGTATTCTCAGTGACAGCATTTTACTTTGAAATAAAACTGACCTTCAAACGAATAATGTCAAATAATCTGCAGAAGCTCGGCAGGTGATTACCAAAGCAATTCTGCAGCCATATAATGTCCTGCACAGTAATGAATTAAATGTCATATATGGGCTGGCAGAAGATGCCCCCATAGGTCTGCTCTAATAAAGCCTCTGGGAGTTAACTTTAAATGCAGGTGTTTTATATAGTGTATGTGTGTGGCAACCTGTCTAACTCTTTATTAAGTTTTAAAAATATGACAGCATCATTTCTTCAGCATGTGGAAAATAATGCCACAATAATCAGGAGTGTTGTGATTACAGGTTATAAAAAAGAACCTATTTTCACTATGCTCTGAGGCAAGGAGTCCATTCTGCTATTCTAGGCCACTCAAATCATGTAACTTACCATCATTGTGCATTTGTATTTATGGGTTAATGTAATATACTGCAGTTTACCAGTGCTTAGATGTGGTGACAGTAATAATGCAGGACTAGCACACAATACTTGCAAATATGCATTAAATGCAATCCAATAAATGAGCAAAATTTTACAAAACACGACATAAATTAATAAATCAGGAAAACATACAAGAAACAAGACTCAGAATGACATGACGCATGTGAATGAGGTTTCTGCAGATGAATGGGTTACACCATGAAACATTCCTTTGAGAACTCACAACTGCCTGTCTTGTATTTGCTTGCCAATTTGTGGGTAATCTGATCACTCATTCAAATGTACAGTAACAAGCATAGGCCTTGGAGAATAAAATGTGGGTAACTGCAAATTTTTTATGCTGTCAAACTCATATTTTAGTGCATACAAACACAATTTATTACCCAATTTTTCATTAAAAAAATAAAAGATGAGGTTGCGTTGAGTGAATAGATAGCAAATATATCAAGTTTTAAAATTGTGTGCTACCATGAAACAGTGACAAACTATGGTACCCAAATATGTGACAATCATGGCCGGATCTAGGGGGGTGCTGGGGTGGGCTACGCCCCGCCAGGCAACCCATGGACTTTGTCCAACAAGAGAAGCTGTATGGAGCAGCTCACACAGCCCAGACAGCACACTACATCCACCCTTACCTAGACTAAAAGGAAAGGAGAGAGGGGATCAATGTGCACTGCCTCCTCTTGCCTCTCTCCTCCTGTCTGCACCACTCACACTCCAATTCTTGGACAGTGCTGTGCCTGAGAAAATGTGTGGGCGGGAAATTTGAAGCACTGAAGCCAGCAACTACAAGGTAGGTGCAGCATTGACCAACCTGCGTGAGTGAACTGAGTTCTATCTCCCCCCTTCTCTCCCCTTTCTATCTTCCTCCTTTCTCCCCTCCCCCCTATCTATCCCCCCTCTAACTCCCCCCTTCTCTCCCCCCTCTATCTTTCCCCTTCTCTCCCTTATCTATCTCTCCCCTTCTCTCCCCCCTCTATTTCCCCCCTTCTCTCCACCTCTATCTCCCCCCTCCCCTCCTCCCTCTATCCTTCCTTCTCTCCCTCTATCCCCCATTCTCTCCCCCTCTATCTCCCTCCCATCTCTCCTCAATCTGTCTCCTAAATGTCTCTCCCCCCTTCATTTCCCCCACACACTCTCCCTCCCCTTGCCTCCCCCTCTATCTCCCTCCCTTCTCTCCTCCATCTTTCTTCCTCCCTTCTCTCCCCCATCTGTCTCCCTCCCTTCTCTCCCTCAATCCCTCCACCTTCTCCCCCTCCTCTGTGTCTTCCCCCCCTCCTCTCCTCTCTTGACTCCATCTCCCCCCTCTCCTCCTCCTCCATCTCCCCTCCCCCCTCCTCTCCTCCCTCCATCTCTCCCCCCCCCTCCTCTCCCCCCTCCTCTCTCCCTTCTCTCTCTCCTCTGTCTCCCTTCTTTCTGTCCCCCCTCTCTTTCCCCCCTCTATCTCCCCCCCTCTCTTCCCCATCTATTCCCCTCTTCTCTCCCCATCTACCCCCCCCCCTTTCTCTCCCCATTTATCCCCCTTCTCTCCCCTCTCTATCTCCCTCCTTTCTCTCCCCCCTCTATCTCCCTCCTCTATCCCCCCCTTCTATCTCCCTTTGCTTTTTTCCCCCATCTGCCTCCCTCCTTATCTCCCCACATTTTCTCCCCTCTCTATCTCCCTCCCTTCTCTCCCCCTGTTGTCTCTCTCCCTTCTTTCCCCCTTTATCTCCCTCCCCTTTCTCCCGCAGCTGTCTCGCTCTCTTCTATCTCCATCCCTCCCCTCTCTCCCTAATCTACCTCCCTTCCCCTCTCTGTTCATGTCCATTTAACACTCAGGGACAACTTTTGTATTAATGGGGATGGCTGACAATCTGAAGGCTGGATAAACTTATGGAGTTATTACTCACATGTTTGTGATGCTTCTGTTTAACCAGTGGTGTATTTTGGTTTTGTGCTGCCCTAGGCAAGACTAAAATCGGGCACCCCCGCATCTAAATTTGTGTCCCACCCTTCATCGGCAAACTCCACCCCATCCTCTTTAGGCTCCACCTCTTCCTATTAGAGCTCTGCCCACTGACAAGGATGGGGCACTATTCCTTCTACTGACACCAATGATGGGGCATGATTCCTCCCACTGACACCAATGATGGGGCACGATTCCTCCCACTGACACCAATGATGGGGCACGATTCCTCCCACTGACACCAATGATGGGCCACTATTCCTCCCACTGACACCAATGATGGGGCACTATTCCTCCCACTGACACCAATGATGGGGCACTATTCCTCCCCCTGACACCAATGATGGGGCACGATTCCTCCCCCTGACACCAATGATGGGGCACGATTCCTCCCACTGACACCAATGATGGGGCACGATTCCTCCCACTGACACCAATGATGGGGCACGATTCCTCCCACTGACACCAATGATGGGGCACGATTCCTCCCACTGACACCAATGATGGGCCACGATTCCTCCCACTGACACCAATGATGGGGCACTATTCCTCCCACTGACACCAATGATGGGGCACTATTCCTCCCCTGACACCAATGATGGGGCACGATTCCTCCCCCTGACACCAATGATGGGGCACGATTCCTCCCACTGACACCAATGATGGGGCACGATTCCTCCCACTGACACCAATGATGGGGCACGATTCCTCCCACTGACACCAATGATGGGGCACGATTCCTCCCACTGACACCAATGATGGGGCACGATTCCTCCCACTGACACCAATGATGGGCCACTATTCCTCCCACTGACACCAATGATGGGGCACTATTCCTCCCACTGACACCAATGATGGGGCACTATTCCTCCCCTGACACCAATGATGGGGCACGATTCCTCCCACTGACACCAATGATGGGGCACGATTCCTCCCACTGACACCAATGATGGGGCACGATTCCTCCTACTGACCCAATGATGGGGCATGATTCTTCCCACTGACACTGATGGAGTATATTCCTCCCACTGACACCAATGATGGGGCACTATTCCTCACACTGACACCAATGATGGGGCACTATTCCTCCCACTGACACCAATGATGGTGCCCCATCATTAGTGTCAGTGTGTGAGGAATAGTGCCCCATCATTGGTATCAGTGGGAGGAATAGTACTCCATCAGTGTCAGTGGGAAGAATCATGCCCCATCATTGGTGTCAGTGGGAGAAATCGTGCCCCATCATTGGTGTCAGTGGGAGGAATCATGCCCCATCATTGGTGTCAGTGGGAGGAATTGTGCCCCATCATTGGTGTCAGTGGGAGGAATCATGCCCCATCATTGGTGTCAGTGGGAGGAATTGTGCCCCATCATTGGTGTCAGGGGGAGGAATAGTGCCCCATCATTGGTGTCAGTGGGAGGAATAGTATTCCATCAGTGCCAGTGGGAAGAATCGTGCCCCATCATTGGTGTCAGTGGGAGGAATAGTGCCCCATCATTGGTGTCAGTTGCAGGCCCGGAGGCATAGTGACCCATTATTGGTGTCAGTGGGAGGAATAGTGTCCCATCATTGGTGTCAGTGGGAGGAATAGTGCCCCATCAGTGTCCCATCATTGGTGTCAGTGACACCAATGAGGGGGCACTATTACTCCCACTGACACCAATTATACTTACATCGCTGTACTGACCCCTGCTCCAGCCCGGGCTCCCTCCTTCAGGCATAGACACTTACCCATCAGCTGTCTTCCTTCTCCAGCCGCTCTCCTCCTCTTCACCGGCTCCAGCTGCTCCCTCACTCGATCTCCAATCTTTGCGCTGCCGCTCAGCTCCTCCTCTCCAAGCTCTGCCACCTCGCCTGTGATTGGCCGCCTGTGTGCCTTTTCTGAGCTACAGATCTGGCGTCCAATCACCGGCAAGGAGGAGGAGCTTCTAGAGGGAGGGACAGGCAGCCATAGGCTGCCCAGTGATCCCAGGGGTGTGGCCAGACTTGAGGGGCAGTTTGTCATCCTGCCCACATCACGATCAAGATCCAGGAAGAAGAAGACACCGCACGGACACCTTCTGCACCCCTCCTCCAGCAGCGCCTTGGGGACCGGATCGACGTGGGGCACGAAGTCAGGTAAGACACAGCAGCCCCTTTCCCACGGAAGTGTCCCCTGGGAAAGGGGCGGGGGGCGGCGCTGCCACCGTGCCACCCCCCTGAAAAGTGCCGCCCTAGGCAAACGCCTTTTTGGCCTCGTGGAAAATACGCCCCTGGGACAAGTGAGGGGCAGTGGGACAGGAGAAGCACAGAGGGACAGGTAGGGGGCAGCGTGACGGGGGGGCATGGGACAGGATCGGGGCAGCGGGACAGGAGAAGCGCAATGGGACAGGAGAAGCGCAGAAGGATAGATGAGGGGCAGTGGGGACAGGAGAAGCGCAGAGGGACAGGTGGGGGGGGGGGGCAGCGTGAAAGGAGGCATGAGACAGGGTTGGGGCAGAAGGACAGGAGGAGCGCAAAGTGAAAGGAGAGGGGCAGTGGAACAGGAGGAGCGCAGAGGGGCAGTGGGACAGGAGAAGTGTAGCGGGACAGGTGGGGGGCAACATAGCGGGGGGCATGGGACAGGATCGGGGCAGTGGGACAGGAGAAGTGTAGAGGGACAGGTGGGGGGCAGCGTGACGGGGGGCATGGGACAGGATCGGGGCAGTGGGACAGGAGTAGCGCAGTGGGACAGGTGAGGGGCAGCGGGACAGGAGTAGCGCAGTGGGATAGGTGGGGGGCATGGGACAGGATCGGGGCAGCGGGACAGCAGTAGCGCAGTGGGACAGGAAGAGTGCAATGGGACAGGTGAGGGGCAGTGGGACAGGAGAAGGAGCACAGAGACACAGGAGGAGCGCAGAGAGATAGGTGGGGGGCAGTGTGACAAGGTGCATGGGACAGGATCGGGACAGTGGGACAGGAGGAGTGCAAAGGGACAGGTGATGGGCAGTGGGACAGGAGAAGCGTAGAGGGACAGGTGGGGGGGCAGCATGACGGGGGGCATGGGACAGGATCAGGGCAGTGGGACAGGAGTAGCGCAGTGGGACAGGTGAGGGGCAGCGGAACAGGAGTAGCGCAGTGGGACAGGTGAGGGGCAGTGGGACAGGAGAAGGAGCACAGAGGGACAGGAGGAGCGCAGAGGGACAGGTGAGGGGCAGTTGGAAAGGAGAAGCATAGAGGGACAGGTGGGGGCAGCGTGACTTGGGGCAGCTGGACAGGAGGAGCGCAGAGGGACAGGTGAGGGGCAGTGGGGACAGATGGGGGGTAGTGGGACAATGTGGGGGACAGGAGGGGGGAAGTGGAACAGGTGGGGGGCAGTGTATCGGGGGAAAGTGAGACAGGAGTGGGGAAGCACTAGTCCTCCAAGCACTTAACCGTCCAGCAGCGGCTCTTCCAGATGGTGTCAGGATCACTCCAGGAGGGGCACCTGTATGCCTTCTCCCCCAGGATCTCTGGCGGCGGCTGCAAAAGAGCGGGCGGGCTCCTCCACCCTGACCCTCATCCTCTTCTTCTTCCTCCTTCGCTGGCACCTTCTGGCTTTCCTGCACATCCCAGCGTGCACTGACAGCGGTCCCCGGCCCTAATGCGCTCTGAGAGCACACTGATGATCCGCCCACCACTCCACTCTCCTCTGCACCCCTCCTCCAGCAGCGCCTTGTGGACCGGATCGACGTGGGACACAAAGTCAGGTAAGACACAGCAGCCCCTGTCCCTTTCGACGTGGGACACGAAGTCAGGTAAGACACAGCAGCCTCTGTCCCTTTCCCACGGGAAGTGTCCCTGCCATGGGAAAGGGGGGGCAGCGCTACCACCATGCTGCCCTCTGAAAATTGACGCCCTAGGCAAATGCCTTGTTTGCCTCGCGACAAATTCACCCCTGTGTTTAACCCCTTCCTGCCCAGCCCCAGCTTCCCTTTAGGTGCTTGTTCACATGAGCTATGGCTTCTGACGAGCGATCTGCATTCAGATCCCTCTTCAGAGAGCAGTTGGCAGGCAGTCAGGAGATGTTGTATCACCTTCTCACCACCTGCTTTAACCCTTAGAACCTCACACTAGTGCACAGCAAACAAGTGCATTGCATGCAATTGCGGGGTGCTTGCAGAGCAGCCTCATTTACTTGAATGGGTCATTCAGCAGGCACTGTGCCCACAGCAAGCAACAGAGGATAAAATTTCTGTCACGGCCACAAAATATCACAGTGACAGTATGTGTATACCCCAACCCTAGTGAAGGGATGGATGCTGCTCAACCCACCCCAGGAGTCCAGTGTTGAGGAATGGCCTCAGCTGCTGTTCTGGTAACGCCCTTTGACATGTTTCACCCCTCCCACTAGAGCTTGGTCACACGCCAACCCTGTGTTGCCAGCCATATGTACATTTACAATGTGTATAAAACAGACACTTTTTTCTTATCCGCAAATGTTCAAGGACAGGAGAAATGTGTCTGTAAAAAAATTCCTTTGTCATGGCCTCTGACTGACAGACTATGATGTAAGGGGACACTCTGCTGGATTCTGATATAAGGGGGCACTCTGCTGGGTTCTAATGTAAAGGGGACTCTGCAGACTGTAATTTAAGGTGGTTTCACTCTGGGGACACTGATATGAATGTGGTGCTCATCCTGACTGCTACATTCCATTTGTTGTGTTGTTTTTTACTTACTCCTGACCCCTGTACTCTGTACATTATGCATATATATACGTAGACCTGACCAAGGTGTTCAGTTGCTGGTTTTAACACAGTTCTTCTTTAAGGTAGTTTCAGTAAGGCAGCCCATACAGTAGTAATTTTTTTCGTTCAACAATGTGTTGAAAAAATGTTTTTAAAAAAAAAATACTCTCATCCACAAATGGAGACTTCAATGCAGCCAGAATACACTGATCAGTGCTGCCAGCTATAGCTGGCGGTGCTTATCATGCAGAAATTTTCCCAGAGGCTGGTTGTACAGAATCGATCAGTAGATCAACTTCTGTACAACCAGCCTGCGCATACATGGATCGAAATTCATCCGGTCCCTAATGAATCAGATGAATTTTGATCCATGTTACTTAGGGTAAATGCTGCTGTCTCATCTCCACTTTAAACTGTCTCACTGCTGTGCACTGACTTTCTGCAAAACTCAGAATAATTAGTCTATATCTTCTTGTCTGTTTGAGGTGATTGATTCTCACCTCCTTTCTGCTTTTCTGTGATCAGAGAATCACTTATCTTTTATGACGTTGGCCTGTGTCTCTGTCTGGTCTGGCTTTGACCAATCCCCCCCAATTCATGCATTCCTTATCAGTTCCTAATTGGGGTGGAGAAGGATTGCTCATTTGATTGTCTCCCCATAAATTTAAACCAGCTTATGGGGGAAGTTACAGACTGGGGTACAGTCACAGATGTCATTGTCCTGCATGAGTGCATTTTCTGCTGAGTATGAAACAGCAGTGGAACACAGCAGTGCATTTTCTGCTGGAGTGCGAAACACAGCAGTTTAACTAAAGCAGCAAGAAGATGCAACAAAGAACTCTACTGCAGTCTGGAAGGACTGCAAACAAAACACCCTGGGAAACATCTCCTACAAGTCTGATTACTACTCTATCTACTGCGCTTAGCAAACCGTTGGTGCTATATATAAATACTGTATAATAATAATAATATAATAATCTACCTTTTAATATGCCCCCTCTATACTCCTTTTCATATTACTATCCTCTGTTCTCAAAATCTCATTTCTTTACCCCTCTGCTCCACCCCAAAGCCTATACATATCACTCTCACTTCTACCATCTCCCTACTACTGCTCTCATCACCTCCTGCTAATACTTAACTCACCTGCTGACCCAAACACCAGGACAGGAAGGCATGTGCACTCATATACATCCCACTCCTACCTTACTTTCCTCACCCTTCTTTCTTCTCCTAACCTGTTGGGATGTCTCCCCGAACCTTGGTCCTCCAGTATCTCACCCCCACAACAGGAACCCTCCTTCCTTCAGGAATAGCCGCAATCCACTCAATTTAATCTCAGTCCCCATGCTACTAAAAACCACCCTCCCTTTTTCATGTTTGCACTGGAATGCTCACTTTGTCTGTAATAAGCTCACCTCTGTCCATGACCTTTTTGTCTCCCACTCCTTTAACTAACTAGCAATTACAGAAAATTGGCTTCAAGGATCAGATTCTGCTTCTCCCGCAGTACTTTCCTATGGAGGCCTCCACTGGACTCACTCACCCTGACCCAGAGGTCAGAAAGGAGGTGGAGTTGGTTTGCTTCTACCCCCACTGAGCACCTTTCAATTCCTCCCTACCCATCCCTCTCATTCCATCTCCCCCCACTATCATTCTTGGAGATTTTTACAT